TGAGCGGGAGAGAGGCGCTGTGGACACTGCCCAGAGCAGGTGCAGGCGCCGTCTCTCTGCAGCATGGCGAGGGAGCCTGGCGCCCCACTGCCCCGTGCCCTGCCTGCCCAGGGGAAGCTCTGGGGTGGTTATGTTGAGCCCAGGCCTGTGTGAGAAGGGGAGAAGTTGGCGGCGAGTCTCATACAGCAGCCAGCCCCCAGCCTGTGCCCTGGGGAGGGGTCAGGTGTCTCCAGCAGACAAGTCAGACAAACACAATTTCAAGATGGCAATGGAGGCCCTGAAGGACTCAGCGACTTCCCCGAGGTCACAGATAATTGAACATTTCCTGGATCCCAGTCCAGTGCTTTAGGCACAGACCTTCTTTCTCCTCTCAGCCAAACTAAGCCAAACTAACTCCCAAAGCCAAACTCCAGCCTAGACCTAATCCAGATCCACCCTCTCCCTTCCCAGCCCATCTCTAATTAACAGATCAGGTGCTGGGAGTGGCCATGTGCCGTCCCCCCACTGAGGCGAGTATTGAAGGACCCTCTCTGGTAGCAGTCACTGCCAGGAACTAGCTCCAGAACAGGGGTCTCTGGGCCCAGCTTTCAGACGTCTCTGTGGACAGTGTTTCTGAACGTGTAGTGGCTGGTAAATGCTCTGGTTTGGTGTTCAGGAGAGAGATTGCAACACTGTCAGGGAATTCCCTTCCCAAAGAGCAGCTCTGCCAGGACCCCTCTCTCCACCCTTCAGTACCCCAGCAGCGTTAGCCTGGGTGCTTCAGCTCATGGCAATCAAAGGCTGGATTACATGAGGCTTCAAGAGAGAACACGGGTCACCAGCCGCTTCGCTGTGAGAAGTAAAATTAATGGTGGGAAAAAACAGTTGAGTCTGCAGAGAGGTGGAAGCAGGAAATGTCTCTAACACAATCCACTTCCTTCTGCAATGGGGGAAGGTCCGATCTTGAATGATAAACTTCTCAGTATCTCTTTGGACAACGGAGAGCTGGCAAAGGCAGCGGTGTTGAAAGGTCGCCCCTCTGACAACAAAATGGCTCCGTCGACCCCTGTGTCTGGATTGTCTCTTCCATGCCTGGTGCTGCTGCTTCTCCTGGAGATCCCTGGTGAGTGTAGAACATAGACACTGCCCACGCGGGCACAAGCCGTCTAGTCTGCTTTCTTGCTGCTTGCAACGGAGGGAAATTCCAGCTGCTCTAAAGGGAGGAATAAACCCTTGTGTATTTTATATCCCAGAGGAAACCTTCCTGATCCCAGCTTGTAATCAGCTTGTGCTCTGGAGTGTGAGAACCGCTAACAGTGTTTAAACTTGATCCCAGCTGGTGTCACTGCAGGGGCTGGTCTTCTTTTTATAAGTGTCTGATCTTTTTGTAGAAATCTTACTGAGCAATTAGATTCAACAATATCCTGCAGCAGTGAATTCCACAGGTTAGTTAGATGTGGGTTAAAAATATTTATTTTTGTCCCTTTAAATCGTGTTGCTTTCAGACTTCATTGAGTGCCATGTCTGTGTGGGGCCATCAAGGGGCAAAATAACCCTCCGTTCATTAGCAGTAAGTGACACACCCAGAAGCTCCTTCTCTGTGGCTGGAGCAGCGCAGCAGCTGGGCTCAGGGCCCTTGTCCCTGCTCGTGCCCATGAGGTTCTGTCCCTGCCCCGGCTCCCCTGCTGACACTCAGCACAACAGCTCCCTGGTCCCTGCCTGCTCCTGGGAGCCGGGGTGAAGCTCTGGAAACGCGGCTCCGGGGCAGCCTGCAGGGGTCGCTGTGGAACGACACAAAGTTACTCCCCAGGCAGCTAAAGCGCCACCCTGGGTAGGGCCCGGCTCTAGGCAGTGTTAGGATATAGATATTCAGGCCTGTCTGTAAAGGCCTATACTTTAAGAATTTAGGTGTATTCTTATCACTTAGCTAGTTCTAGAGGTGTGAAAGAAAGAATCAAAATCACTATCTGTCTGTGTAAGGGCCTTGTCGTACTGTGACAGTCTGCGGCTCTGTTCTTAGGCTAAGTAAGGCCTTTGAAAAAAGAAGAACAGGAGTACTTGTGGCACCTTAGAGACTAACAAATTTATTAGAGCATAAGCTTTCGTGGACTACAGCCCACTTCTTCGGATGCATAGGGCCTTTGAGAAGTGAACGGTCACATCCTCACATTCCAAACCAGTCACACAGAAACAAGGTGCTATTGGGCTGTTAGGATACAATCCTGTCCTGATATTCCCATCACCTCCAGAGAAAGGGAAGAGCCTAGAAGAGGTCAAAGGACACTTAGTTTGATAGCATCCTGTCTGGTAAGAACTCACTTATCAATAGACACAGCTGGAAAACCCTTCTGTCTGTAGAGATGTAGTTGTGAAATCCTTGCTTCTGTATTGTTTTGTATGTTTATTTGCATGGTCTCTGTCTGGTTGTGTGATTGTTTCTGTCTGCTGTATAATTTTGTTGGGTGTAGACCAATTAAGGTGGTGGGATATAATTGGTTAAATAACCATGTTACAATGTGTCTGGATTGGTTAGTTAAATTTCAGTAAAATGATTGGCTAAGGGATAGCTAAGCAGAACTCAAGTTTTACTATATAGTCTCCAGTCAATCAGGAAGCAAGGGGGGGGGATGGGGAACAGGGAATGTGGGTGGGGAAATTGGACTCATGCCTTGCTAAGGGGGGGAATGGGGAACAGGGACGGCTCTGTGGTGTCAGAGCTGGGAAGGGGGACACTGAGAAGGAAACTGGAATCATGCTGGCTGGAAGTTCACCCCAATAAACATCGAATTATTTGCGCCTTTACACTTTGGATATTTGTTGCTCTCTGTTCATGGGAGAAGGACCAGGGAAGTGAGCGGGTGAAGGAATAAGCCCCCTGAC